TTGTATTTGTCGTTATCGCCGACGCGTTCGGAAAGGGTCACGCGATAGGAACGACCGGAAAGTGCAACCACGTGCTCGTTAGCTACCGTACATGTCGGCGAACTTCAATTATAGGACGGCGGAGTTTCCCGTACAGGACATCGACGGCGCGGCGTAAACTTACGGAGACTCCGCCGTTAACGTGTTTGACTAACATATTACGTGAAATTGGTACGTATTTTTACAATCATACATTCGAAATACTCCGCAAAGCTGACGTTTATCCAGGTTTGCGCAAGATTTTTTTCCGTACGCGTAGAAACTCCAGTGCGGGATATTTTATTCATTAAACGCCGTTAAAAATTAATGTCAATCGCAAGAGACGAATTAATCGGAAAAAAAGGCTTCAGGCCTAATTTAAGAGGAAGAAGAAGAAGAAAAATTAATGTGCACGCACACCATTGTAATTTATAGTTAAATAAAATAAAATAAATTAAATAAAAATCGTTTCTCTTTCTCCCTTTCTGTGTCCCTCTTCTTCTTTACGTCTGCAATATTGCAGTTGCATTCGCGCAAGATGCATCGCGATAAACGAATTCTATTAAATACTTAAAAGTGTCAAGACACGAACCGAGGTATGTTTCAAGTGGAAGTCGCGCGGCACTACCCTCATTTCAGTGACGAGAAAATAATGTAAAAGTAGACAACCCCTTCTCCCTCGGTACGCATTGTGCTTTTTACTTGGCCGACGAATCGATAAGCGCCGGGAGTAGAGGGAATTTATATGGAATCAAATCGCAGCGCATATCGATGCGTCCGTTCGCGCGATCAATCGCGGGATCTCTAATATTATCGAGATGCGTGATTGCCATCGACGAGCCGCACGTATCGCGACGACTGCGCAGCGACTCGGCGAAATTTAATTCCGAATAATAATCTGCGGTCGTGCATGACGGAAAAGTGCGAGAATATTACCGATATTACATTATCGCCGAAATTTCATTCCGGCAATAATACCGCGGTTGCCAATGGAAAAGTGAGAATGTTACTGATATCCTATTGCCGTAGGAATTTAATTTTGACAATAATCCCGTGATCGCACGACGTACGGCCGTAAATATACGGCTAATATTAAAACGTTGACAGCGGTCTCGCTGCCGCAAGAAATTTAGCGTAATTTAGCGGTGTTCATCGTAACCGTGCGTTTATTATCGACATTGGCATCTGTTACGTTATTTGCGATACGACGAACGTGTGGGCCTATGTGGGTTGTTTTTCTCTTTTCTTTTTGAACGAGAGAGATATGCGCATTCATTTTGATTTAAAATGTATTTTGCAAAACCTCTTCATTCCTCGCATTTTTATAAATTATCCCGGAATTAAAAACCGTTTGTAAACATATCCGGCGATAAGCCAACGGACATTCGTTATACCATTTAATTCCGTGACTGCCTTTTTCGAAACTCATGAGGGACTGCTTTGTTATATGATAAATCGATAGATATTCAATCACGCTATTACACACCGCCGAGCAGCTCGAATGCGCGCGAAATTGATGAAAATACGCGGCGCAAAATCGCATTTCGGTTAAAACCCATCGGCCCTTACGCGCGCTGTAAATATGCGTGATACCGGTAATTATTTCGTTCTCCCGGTGCTACCCTTCGTCGGCCGGAAATCCGCTGCAGTTAATGCGGACAATAAAACCAGTCAGTTCGACCGGGCCGTAATAATATTGCGGCCCGAAAACGTGTCGGCCGAACTCAATTTGCCGGCAATTCGTCGATCAGCGCGCTGTCGCCCGCGATAATCCATGGCCATCATAATTTTTACGAATTTCAAAACTGTCGCGAACGCGCGGCCGAGCGCGATAATGAATTTGTGCACGGGACGTCTCGGAATTATCCAAACATTTTCCACAAACAATTTTCCCAGAGATAACAGATGCAAATGCAATTGAGCGAACAAAACTGAAGGCACGCGCATTTTTAGCCACGTAGAATATGTTGTGTGAAAGTACTTTGCGTTAAGAGGAAGCCTCGTGTGAAATATCCTCCTTCACCGATCAGATTTTCACGATGCACACCGATGCACACCGAGGGGTTTATCGCGCCTCAAAAAAGTGCACATCTATGTCCGAAAATGGCAATAAATTTCTGCAGTTATTACCTTTATTTCCTACATACACACCTACATCTATGTAGATCTGTAGAGGAAAGTCCTCCATAACGAGATTGAATTCTTAATAATACGAGATAGCAGGTTTTCACCGTGCAAATTCAATCAGAAATCTTTTTTCGCAACGACTACACGATCTAACAATCGGTTTTCCACTAAACAGATTTTACTCCAAAGGCAATAAATTCATGATGGAACCAACAGACGATACCTATTAATTAAGCAGGAACTCCGCTGTCCTATATTGGGAGCCTATTTCATAATAGGAGACTTTACCTATTTCGTTTAGAACAGAATTGTGAAATCTTTAACTACATATGTTAATTTATTATTTGATTTCTCTTCTTATTTTAAATACGTGACTGGCTTTCATTGCCTTTATATCTTTTTTTTCAGAATTGTGAAATTTTTTTGTTAAGCAAACCTCGTTTTCCAATATTGCCGAAGTTATTGTCCCGTTAATGCCGTTTATTGCCTAAAATTTGTGCACCCATTGCCAAATACGACAGGCCCCTTGATGCACACTGATGAAAATTGATAAATCGTATTTTCCACGGCGGCGGAGAGATCGAAGAGCATGAACTAAATCGAAAGCCATTAAAATCTCTATTTGGTGTACTCTCATGGTATTATCGGTCCCGAACTCGTCGATACTTGAGCGAAATTTCGTTCGGCTGGGATAGCCATTAATTATGCGCGCATATTAAATGTGGGCAGCATATTTCAGTCTTCGCATTATCCACTCAATCACGACACCGCGGATACACTCGGCCAATTTATGTAATATTGTAACAAACAAGTGGCGAACGATATCCGAAGGACGAATGTAAACGGAACGGGGATCATCTCCGGCACTTTTTGCAAATTTGACTCAACGAGTGGTCACTGCTCCTACTCAACGTGTCGTTACTTTTATCTATCGCGTGCAGCAAAATTTATTGCAATTTATTGCGATAGCGGCATATACTGGACAAATAAATTTACCGACGACAATGTTTCACCTAACAAAACTGTGTTGCACGACCGAAAGTAACGGCGCGCAGGACGGAAAAGCGATATATAAACTCACACATTATGTAAAACCATTGAGCTACCTGCATCCTGCTCCACATTGACTATCTTATTTCCCAAACATTTATTATTTTAACACAAAATATAAGCAAAAGAACAAGTGCATTTTTTCATTCAACCCACTTTGTGGGTTTCCTCAACTCCGGTGTTTAATTAAATTAATGACATATTGAGTGGAAGCAGTGGCGACTGTTGAGTCAAATTTAATATTACAAATTGAAATACGGAAGGTATAAGAGATATTATTAATGCTACTTCTCTGGTGACAAGATTCCGCGTCCAAAAATGTTAAGTATATTTAAGAGCGTATCGTGATACAACCGCGAGCTGATATTTACGCGTTCAACGAAAAAGGAGAGATTTATAAGAGACTTTTCGTATCTCCGTTAATGAGAAATCAATTTCTATTCACGCACACTAATTCGTCGGGAGTCCGTGATACGTTACACCATCGTCTTGCTCCGGAGTTCGTATAAAGGTAGACATCCCCCTTTATCCAAGGGTCCTCTCATCGCAGCGCTCGCTAACTTTGTACCCCATAACGCACGTGGCCTCATTGAAGCGCGCAGGCGAAACTTTCCACGCGAATATCTTCGATATTCGCTATTCAGACCTCACTCGAACGGTCAAGTAGTATACCGCACGGATTCGCGGGCCGTGTGCAGAGTGGGCGGATTTCCGGCGCGGCGCGGCGCGGCGCGGGGTTTAAACTGTCTGCAAAGTTGGCTCCCGCGCTCCCTTTTCCAACCCTTCGGCGCTCTTTATCGTCGACTCCGCGAGCACCGCTTTCATCCCGCCTCATCCCGGTGAGGGATGCATTTAGCCTGCGTGCGTATCTGTACCTCTCCCTGCCTCCCTCTCGCACACAGCAAATGTGTACGTACGAGCTAGCCCACAACAGGCAAAACTCACTCCGGCGTGTATGTCGAATTGCGGCGAGGTGCTTGTACAGCGTTTATGTGCGCGTGCATGCGCGGCAGTTAAAACCGGATAACCCACGAAATATCGGGGCGGCTGGGAGTAAACGCGATTATCGCCGATACCCCCGGCGCGATTATACAATTCATTTATTGCGCCAACGAGGCGCGCGCGCGTATTCGTTGTCCAGCCGTGCCCGCCGAGAGGCCAATTTCAATTGTGGATTTTAGACGCTGAGTTTTAATTAACAGCTAGTTAAAGATTCCGCCTTCTCGCGGATAGCCGGTCTGTATGCGCAATTTCGCATACAGATCGCGTCTCAAATAGATAGGTATCTCGATACCGCTAGTTCTAGACTATATTAGAGTACTCTGTAACGCATGAATATACAGTTAATACGCCTGTAACGAGCGAGCGAGCGAGCGAGCAAACGGCTTCGCGATAACGCACACGCTGCAACAAGATCCCTCCAATATGACCAGCGGCGATACATCGATTATGCGAACTCGCAAATTGCGAGCGTGTGTCCCGAGTGCTCTCCTCTCCCCCCCCCCCTGTTGCTTTATTAAACTCTTGAAATTACATTCCGCAACGCGAGAGCTCGATAACGACGTCTCGTTTTTCGAGCCAGCGAAGCAATCGACGAGCGTGGGAGCGCGATTTGCCGGTCGATAACTAATTAGTCGAGCGTCCGCGAGATTTTTAAGCTGTCGCGCGCGCGACTGGCGCGGAAGGTTTCTCATTAGAATGATGGTTACGCTCGCCCAACGTTTCAAATGATATTTAAATCCTACTCCCCGAGATCTCCTCTCTCCGCAGTGCAGATACTCGAGGCGCTTACGCTCTGAACTTACCTATTATCCCCTAGAAGTGACCCGTTAGCCGCTTACCAGCAAGTTATCCGCTTCCCGGGCTAATTTAGGCATGCGTTCTTAGCTCTCCGTTCCGTGTGTCGCTAAGAACTCTTTCCTGCTCATGCTGACCTGCGAGAACAGAAAGCAAGCCCGCATTGAGCAAGATTATTTATACGCACGCGTTCAAACGGCAAACACCATTTGCGCGCGGCTCTAAAGCTATCGTGATTAATCGCGATTATTAACGATAATCATTTGCACAACAGCGTAGCTCAAATCCTATTTGCTTCGTACATTTTCCACCACGGCACTTCCGCGCGGAATTTTACACGAATCCAAAGATTTGGTGCGCGATACCGTTAAGTATTAGCGCTCTCTTACGCCACGATGTCGTACGATATTTTATAACATTCTGAATTAAATAGATGATAATTAGAGAGAGAGAGATTCACATTTCTGCAGAGTCTGGAACGCGCGTTATTCTTTCATGCGACCTAAAAATCTCTCTCTCTCTCTTTCTCTCTCTTTCGTCGGTAATGCACGTAGCGGCAAAAACTAAGTATGCCGTTCTTCAATAATTGCGAACGCGAAACCTCAATCCGCCGGCGAAAAATTTAATCCGGAAATTTCGGTTCTACCTGGTATTTAGGTCGGACTGCACCTTCACCGCACGCCCAATATTTTCGAACGCGCGTGACGCGCGTACGACGGCGCGTGCACGCGAATCTCTCGCCACCGAAAGCCTTGCATTTCAAACCGCGGTAAAGCTTTGTGGTTTATCCGACTAAAATTTTTACTTTCGGCGAGCCAGCTGTCGGTCATAAAATTTAATCGCTTGAAAAAGCGAACGTTGCGCCGTATGTAGCATCGCTAAATGTCGCCCTTTGTATTTTCAGCAGGAATGAAAGATCTTGATTAATTTTTCGTACCTTAATTACATTACACAAACCCGTGAATACACCGTGCGTCTCGCGGTATTTAAAATACTCTTCGTGTCTTAAAGAATTTGTCGATACGTTAAATTCACCTTGTTAAATCTTTGAATATAATTTATTAAATGCATTCCACTCGGCCGTATTTTCTCAGACGTTTGCTCGAGAAAATCTCGCGGAGCACGTTCTCCGCAATTTAAGCACCGCGTCTGTCCGACGAGTAGAAATAAAATAAAATGTCGATTCTCCCCTATCAATCAGCTTGATGTTACCGCACATAGATCATCGGGGTCATAAATCTTCAACTCGCGGCGAACATTCGCGCCCCTCGACGAGTTCGTCTAAACTGTCCAAAGTATCAGCACGTACGCGGCGCATCCGCATTTCCGATGGAGCGCGCGGTGACGGATTCCGCCGGCATATTTAAAGCCGCCATCGCTGCCACAGACGCGAATCAGGCGGCGGTCGCCACGGCACATTCGAAATCGCTACAACCTAGGTATAAATTCGGAGCGTCTCGAACCGTGGAGAGTCGCCTCGTTTTATCTCAACCCCTTCTCCCTATCTCAACCCCCGACTCTCGCTCGCGGGGTGAGCCGAGGGCTTTCCGGGGATTAACCTTACCCGCGACTCCGCGCCAGTAATTTCCAATTCGACTGCCCGACCTGATCTCCGTGTTAATTAAACCCCTCCTCGCTAGTTATGTTGCTATCGATAGCTCTCGCGGGAGGAGTTGTACAAAGCTGAAAAGTTTTTAATCGAATATAGTTGATTTCAAACGGCTTGAGTCGGTGCGGATGTGCGCGACGGTATTTTGTACGCGCGTTGTAATACCGTTTATCTTGATGCCGAACGTAAAACGTTCGCAGTAAAATTAAAAAGGTCCCTTTTTAGCTGTAGCATTTTATTCCTCGTGCGAACAGGGGGAGGGCATTTAGCTAATTGTGAGAACATTTAGTTAATTAACTAGCGCGATGCCACGCCAGGATCAATCGATGAATAGATGTACCACTGATACAGCGCTTATTCAAAACCGGGAGATTTCCAAATGAGTTATAACTAATTTAGGATTAATTTAGGATTACTTAAGTTAGTCTGGGATTGACACCGTTGTTTCCTATTCCCTTTCCGCTTTAATGCCAAGCTGCAGATGAAAAGAGAATGCTTGATTAACCGCGCTCACCGTGCTGGATGTTAATGCAATTGGTTATTTAGTTGTGCCAAGAACGTATTCATATTCGAAAACCAGAAGGATCCTCGACGGGCGCAATCAGGTGCGCGTATCAGGACACTCTAAATCGATTGCTCTTAATTACATCATAATTTAGATATAAAGACGTTGAGAAAGAAAGAAACAAGGTTAAAAATTCATCAAGAAAAATCTAATTATTCGATGATTTAAAATAAATAATGTCGCAACACGGTTAAATATTTTTCGATCATTCCGTTTCCCCAATGTGTTAAATAACTGTCTCATTTTCAAGATAACGCGTATCAAAATGTATATTAGCCTTAATGCCAACGCTCTCTTCCCCGGTCGAGTTCGCATTTCTCGTTACAATTAAGCGTCGCGTTACAAATAAATATATCTACCGTTACCACGGCGCATGTTACAGTAACCATAGCGAGACCCATCTCGAAATAGCGCGCGGCCCCGTAAAACCATTCAATTACCTGTAACCAATTTTCCACATACTGCTTTTGATATGGCTTTATGCTCGGTGATTATATTAAGATGTACAGCAAGTCGCATCCTATGTGCTCTTATGAGATAAAAACAGTCGTTTTGCGTCCTCTCTCTCTCTCTCTCTCTCTCTCTCTCTCTCTCTCTCTCTCTCTCTCTCTCTATTACTTCGTATTTTTCCCCTACTAGCTGCTTTGTTATTACCGTTCTCTCTCTCTCTCATCTGCCTTCCCATTTTACTTCTACACTAATACTTTCACTTATTTCGCGCAATGCACTTTCGCGTGTTTTTTTTTCTATTTCAAACCTAGAAGAGATCACTAATAATTTCTACAATTTAATTTTACGCGAGTAATTTTCGTACGAGTTTGAGATAGGCGGCTTTGTCCGTTGCTGACCGTTCGCTTTATTACTCCGCGTTTTTACCCCTTTTTTGCTAGGGATTCGTAGTCAAGCGAGTGGATTTCCATTCTTTCATCGCGTTACACTCCACCCCGCTTTTATCCTCGAATTTCGCCCCGCTACTTTTTTTTTAAACCCCTGCCCGTCGCGTTACTTATCCTTTACTTCGCATTCGCGTTTAACGCTAAATATGACCGGCCGGGCCTGGGCTTTATTCGTGTAATACGAAAATCGCGTTCGAGAATTAAAAGTCAAACAACTACGTGTAAACGTTAACTGCACCGCGCACGTTTTTATCCCCCGCATCCTTTATTCTCTTACGCTTTGTCCCTCTTTTGTAATTTTCAACGTTTTCCATTTCGTGCTCCGCGCTTCGGTTTCTTCGGCGTCGTCCTCTCTTTCGAGTCTTTGATACGTCATTCTCGAATTTTCCCCACGAATTTTCGCTGTCATCTTCTTCCCCGTCGACGCATCTTCAATTTTTCATTTCTCGATCGGGCGCTTTTTCGTTTCCTGATATTTGCGCTTCCCTCGACCGTTACTCTCACCCTCTCTGCCTTTCTCTCTTTTATTTTCTCTCGTCGATACGTCTCTTCATTCGATTCCATAGTCCGATAGTCCACACTTTCACAATCGCACCGCTACACGCGAGTCTTTTCCTCGCTTTGTCCGCTTTTCCATCTGCTTAGCAGTAAAATCTGCTACAGGAAAGCGGACAGAAAATTGATATCGACGAACAATTCTTTTACTTTTTTTTTTGTGATGTCGAGACTCACATACGGTACGAAAAATTTTAAGCAAAGTGCTTCCAATCTATGAAAACATTATAGTAAGCGCTGTAAATAAACAGTAATTTATAAGTTTTGCGTCATATATTTTTATTCGGGTATCTCATCATCGGAAAATTATTTCGCTTCGTAACATTCTCTTGATATTTTGTGTTTAATATTCCGAGTAATTAGGTATCATGAACAAGAACTGCGTAAATATTATTTCAGCTTTAATAGCGAGAAAGCACATCGCGGTATTTTGCTACGTTTATGCTACGCTTCGGCATTTCAATGAGATTCTCTTCTAACCGCTGCTAATGTAATATTCTGAAATGTCTCAGAAAGGCCGAACGTTGAAGATATATATTTTACGATACACGAAAGTGCATTCCGCTGCAAATAAAAGCGGCCGACAGGACCGCAGCGATATTGCTTTTCTTCTCGCCACATTCAACCAGGCAATTTGCAATACTGCAGTCAAAATATTGGATCGCATTTTAATGCGAAAACCACAATTGACAAGATACAATGATACCTAGTAGGGCATCTAAAACTCTACATGATTCGTGAGTTACGCGTAAAGAGAAACGTGTCCAGCAGCCATTTATTACTCGGATATCTAATAAAAAAACAGTGCTTCGTACAGGATGCTATACATTTATAAAGATGTGCTAAACGTTCTTAATATTCTTAATATATGAAGAACGGAGAGACCGATATGGTTACCACATGTTTAATTAGGGTTCCCGTACAGCACGCATGTCTGAAAAACGACTTAAGGGGATGCTGGA